TGTATTCTTCAACACTGTGCGCATCTGTATCTGTCTCTTATACACATCTTGTGTATAAGAGACAGCTCTTTTATATATCTCTCCTTTATCCCTTACAATAATTTTGACAGATGTCAAAGTCAAACAGTACTAGAAACTCCCAGTAATGAGCTGTGGTTTTGATTGACTTCCTTGTTGACATAACCATTTAAGGCCTACCAGCGTATTTCCAGCTCCTTCCCACTATGTTATAAATCACCGGGTTGGTCATACGTTCTAAACGAACGAGTGTTGGGATTATTCGACTGTATAACATGGGAAACTCTGCACCAGTTAACTCGGTACCAGAAAGTAGATTCGTCCTCAAAAAGTCAACTCGGCCCAAATCATAATCTTTCGCCGATTTCATTACATTTCATTTAAATATTAGGCCTCGTATTCGTCTTATTGAAGAAGGTAACAACATCAACGACACAAACAATGATCAACAGTAACAGTGGCGTATCTAGAATTCTTGAAATGGGGGTGGGGGCCCCCACGGGTGCTCGAAGATCAGTTGAGTGGCGCAAACTCGCAAAATAAGGTGATTTAGGTGATTCTTAACTACTTGCAAATTATTTTGAGGGGCGACTCGGGGCGCGAGTCATTTTTAGAGGGGCGTGCGCTCCCCCAACCCCGCGCACCCCCTAGATAGTTACACCACTGAACAGTAAGCTACATTAAGGACTCAGTTGCTATCTGATAAATGAGTCCCCGGTTGATTCATATAACCCTAACATTTAAATTTATAGGGCCTAGGCCTAAAATCAATTGAAAGAAATTTAAAAAATAAATAAATAAATAAATAAAAACAACAATACATATACTTTTAGAAACCCATAGAATCTAACAAATATAATGCAAATTATATATGTAATACATTAATGACAAGAAATAAAAAACATCAATACAGTACATAAATTCCGACGTTTATTGCTGGGTCGACTAGATTTTAAAACCCATTGATTAATGGATTATAACTTTTATATTGTATATAGGCTAAGGGTATTTTAGGGGGTTTCCGGAAAATACCTAGACACATCATATCAAAACGTAATTGCGAATGCGTCCCGATGAAACAGTTCAACTTTGTTACTACCTAAAGATGGTTGATAGATATAATATGGAATATGCTGGATCCGTATTAGAAAGGTTACCGTATACATACATTGATCTTCATCAAATAAAATTCGTCGTAATCTCTTATACATATTGACATAGGCCCCTATTTACTTTTCAATATCTTTATGGCGGAGAAACAAATAACAATATACTCGCTTCATATTTCGGTTGTTCTGTTCTATTTTATAAGCAGTATACTGCTATTTTTTATATGGATACAGAGAAAATATTGTATATTACATTGTCTGTATGATATGGGTAACAATTTTAAGATATATAAATAAATAAATATACAACTGCAAAATGTTTAAAAAAAAGAAACACATTCTCACTGGCCGTGCCCTTTATATGCATTATTTCATTGCCGTAACCAAGATTCGAACCTGGGTTTTTGCAGCCAACGCAAAGTCAGTATACTAACCACAATGCATTGCATACCACAATGCATTGCATACGGTATACTATTAATCACGGTGCGCTACGTGGGGCAATACAGCTGTGTATTGAAGTGTCTGTTTTAATATTGTGGTACACAATTATATAATTTCATTAATAAGTAATATAGATTACTTTTTTTTAAAGAAGTGAGACCACCTATAATCCAGGGGATTGGCATTTTCTTTCTATTTTTTATTCGTCCCACATTAGGGTGCTGTGACAGTACAGAAGAGGTATATTTGTGTTGTTACCAAATCCAGGTCAGAATTCTTATCAGGCATTTATTCACATTTTAGTCTTTATTATGAGAGAAGAAGAAGCCTCACTTAAATTTTGTCTGTGTGCTTGTGGTACATAATTATATAATTATTTTATTAATAAAATATAGGTTACTTTTTTAACGAAGCCAGACAAGTTATAAACCAGGAATTTGCATTTTCTTTTTATCCGTCCCACACTAGCGTGCTGTGGCATTATAGAAGAGGTATACTTACGTTGTTACCAGATCCAAGTCCGAATCCTTATCACACATTGATTCACATTTTAGTCTTTATTATGAGAGAAGAAGCCTCACTTAAAAGTTGTATATGTGTTTGTAGCATCGTGCGATGTGTTGCAAAATTAGACCTAGGCCTATTAATTTTTTCACATCTAACAGAAGTAACACGCGCCATTTTGGACTGCGCTTTATGAACTTTACCAGGCTTAAGCCACATTTACACTAGACACGATTACGGGTTGTATTCTTCAACACTGTGCGCATCTGTATCGTGTCGTGATCGTGTCTAGTGTAACTGTGGCTTTAAAAAAGTGATTTTATTTTTTGTGTGTGTGTAAAGTATCCTGATTTCTAACAGGATTTTAACTCAGGAACTTGAAATTAGAATGCAAGCAACCACTAAGCTATTTATTGAATTTGATGTGGCAGACCACTTGTATGATTGTTTTAAAATGACCACAAGGTGTCTCTTAGCGGTAAGTCAGTACCGGTATGACGCATTTCACAAAGTGCATTGCCGGTGCTATACTAAAGTGAAATAAAATAAACACGAAGAAAAATTATCCCAAACTATATCCATAAATTTATTCAGAAGTCGAATCCCACAGAAGATATTAACATTCACAAAGCAAATTCCCAACACATTAATACAATAAAAGAACGGAAATCACGTCACAAAACATAATCTATAGATAAATCTGCATAAAAGATAAGAAATATATACACTAAATTGGGGCTGTATCCTGTTGTACGGACCACCGCCAACATATTCTTGCGAAATGAAAGCCATTTACAAATAAACCCTTACGTAAAATTGATAAGACTAAAAGGAAGTAGGCCTAATCTTTGACGTTGAAGACCGGTAAAATAGTAGGGAGCTTTCGATTGCACAACCACGGTAGTATCTATGACGTAATGACGTCACAAACATTCATCTGCTCATGCGCAAAAATTGCCAAAAAAAAAAAAAATGTTGTCCGTTTTCTGTGACGCAGTTTGGCCCGAATCTACGTTTTGTACAACGCAGGAAGGTCACGGGTGAGTCAATCAGCTCTATGTTCACATTGTCGCTTAAAACGAAAGCTCTCCATTGTTAATTCAATTAAAACATTGAATTAATTATAAATTATGCAATTTAAATATAGAATTTTATTTGTCAAGTTCAGCTGTTTGGACAGTGGTATATCATTTAAATATTTCTAAAATACGTATTAATTAATTTTATTATAAACGTTTTCCTAATATACAGCCAATAATAATTTTACGTACACATCAGAATTGTGTATTAGATTCCATTCTGTGTGTTTCTCTAAATAGATAGCCGCCGGTAATGGTTCGAGAAAAATACGCATGCGTAGAATTTTCAAATTTTGATAATCGAAAGCCTATAAAATTGCACATATTTGACGTAAGCCTTCAAAGGCAATGTTAAGACTAGCTTCCATGAAATCGCTACACGCTACTGCCTTTCGGCGACGTTGATTAATCGGTCGAATTGGGGTGCCTTCCCAACGATTGTAGTGAAAACGTTGTAGTGACAGTGTAGCGTTTTTTTAGAAACAAAGCTTGACCCGCATCATCTCACACGTAATATCAACTCAGTTGTAGACCTACGTTATCACATTGCACACTTTTACGATCTTAATGATTTCAATGTTTCAGTAACATAATGAATTCTTCAGTCTGTCATTGTCAGTCTGAGTAAAATTAAATAGGTACCGGTATGTGATCAAACTCATTGTTGTCAAACGTATTGGGCCACACCTGCTTGGGACCACCCCATTGTGTGATACCATACGTAAGTCCTTCTTGACGTTCTTTTGTGTATCCTAGACAGTGTGAAACGTAACGCACTCCCTGAATTATACGGTCGCGATTACGATGCTGATGTCCGTAAACGTGAACTTCTGCGCCGACGTCACGTATCTGCTCCTCCAGCGTGTTGCAACCTGCGTAACGGGTAAAGTTGAATCCCTTCGCGGAACCCTGACGTTTTGGTACACAGCATGGGAGACCTAGATGCTGCCTCTCTTTCTTAACCTTCTGGTCGTCTTCGCTACTTGCTCGTATCAGCTCCATACGTGGAACAAAATGACTGAACGTGATTACTGGTGCGTCGTACGAACGTTCAACGCGCTCTTTGTTCTGTTCGGCGAAATACCGTGATCTGGATTTGCCGATGTTCGTGGGCCATTTACACATGTGATTATCCATCCACAGTGTCTTCGTCAATTTGACGTCTTCGTAGCTACCTGGGACGTAAAGCGAATCCCGTCTGTCTTCCTCCGGCGTTGTGTACCAGGAGAAAAGTGGCACAATCCAAACGGCGCCATCAGAACTGTTGATTTTCTTTGGTGCTGTGTGAATCCCCGACTTCTTGCACATCTCGATAATGCGATGGAATTTTGTGATGCTCGATTCCTTAGATCCCTTATCCCGAACCCATAGCTCATGGTTTCCTGAAAGGATAAAAAAAAATACCGATATACAATTGAATTATTCATCATTATTACTATCATAATATTACTGTATGTATAAATTTATATAACTCACGATGTTACACATATATCTTCATTTAATAATTACTAAAATATACAATATTATATACATTTTCTTATATTTTATAAGGCCTTTGTCATTGTCTATGTACTGTACATGGTCCGATAAAGATAACACTACGGTACATATTAGAAATAGTATTGTATTATTTACGTAGGCCTATGCCAGTTGGCAATACACTTTTTCTTTTTCTTTTTTCAATTTAATGATATTGCCTATACAGTACTGTGACGTAATGAGTTCAATAAAACGTATTGCTTTGTGTAACTTTTAAAAAGGACAAAATCCTTAATGCCAAATACCGGATATTTAATGCTACCATCCCATAGAGGTGCATATCACAGATCCTTAACTGCCTATATGTATTGTTGTCTTGTCCCAAACTGGCAGTCAGCCAGTTTGAGACAAGGCCAGCCAATAGTAAAACGGTTTTGAATCTATGAATTGAAAACCAGTTTTGTATCGGTGAACATTAATTTGTTGATATTTATACGGTATGTGATTTTTTAAAAATTATTTATGAGAAATTAAAAGATTTAGTCCTAAGCATATTTTATTTTTTAGTGGCTTTCTCGATATTGACAATAATCATAGCAAAATATATGTTTTACATAATTTTTCGTTAAAAAAAATTAAATGCTTATCGATTCTTAACAAATAATGCAATGCTTACCTGGTACGAAAAATACCTCCTTAAACTTCTTTTTGAGGCCGACCAGTGTTGACTTCAGGAGGGGCAATGAATCGGTAACATCCCCGGCCAACAGAAGAACGTCATCTTGGTAACGGGTGAATGGCAGTTCGTCTGCCCACTTTAGATTCTCCGGGTGATCTACATGAAGATCCGATATCGCATAGATACGACTCATCTTTCGGTTCGGCCTGCAAAAGCGTCTGGAAGGCGCAGATGGAACGGATGCCTTGACGGTATGGATCAGACAACGTAGAATTAACTGTCAAAGTGCCTTTTATATAAGTACCCTTATATTTGTGTTTTATTACGAACTGTGATTCTACGGTTGCTGGTAGTCTAACTTTTAAGGCAATGCCGTGTATAATTATTTACATCTGGCCAATCACACGCCGTCTATTAGGGAGTATCACGCCGGTGTAAATTTTCAGCCAATAGGAATGCAAGAGGCATCCGCTTATGTGCCATGGATACTGTAGATTCAGCGGAATTCCTTAATGAAACCGTCCTGCGGTTTGACCTTCTAAATTATATTTTGAAATAAATTTATCTAGGCCTATGCACATAAAGGATTACCTCCAGATTAGATTAAAAAAATACTCTGGTTTTGTGAATTAAATAACCTCCATAAATAAGCCTATGACCGGTGGCATGGCGTAACGATGGGGCCGGAGGCCCCGTCGCTTCCTGAAAGTGAGAGCCTTTTGGGTACCGATCGCGAATTCCATTGTGTGATTTTAGATGTTCTCGTCTTTAATTATAGTTATTGTATTATAAATGTTTTTAATGACAAAATAAATTATACGATATGAGTGGCAAATCCAGGAATTTCACTCACAAAGGATCAATACCACCTCAGCCCCAACATGATTGGAGCTGAGGTAAGAAAATCTATGACCACGGAATCTCTAAATGACCGGATATGGTACTCACAGACTTAAAATTTAAAAATTTAGGGGTTTCCTTTAATTTGCCACTGGGCAGGGACGTATACATTAGGTGGGTGGGGGGCGTGGGAGCCGCAGTTCCACCCCCCCCCCCTTTGTACACAGAGTTAAAATTTTCAAGCTTGTTCTTGTTAGCCAATACAAAATCTTTCCAAGGATCTATGTAAATATGCATCAGCACACATTATACGAGGCTTACTATGATAACACATAGGCCTAAGCGTGATTTTTAAATAAAAGTCTTATATCCATAAATCCCAGGCCAGGTCTTTTCAGATACAGAAATGTGATATTGTATGGTTCCAGTTTGGTTTTTTATCCTTTTGCAAGCTCTATAAAGTTTTATTTTAACACTACTGTATAGTACTACTAGTAGTAATAATAATAATTATGATGATGACGATGATGATGATGACGATGGTAATAATAGATAATAATATTAATAATATTAAAAAGTGGAGAAAATTGTGCTAAAGGCGAAAAAGTAAGTTGTGATTTGTTGATTATAATTCTTATAGTATAGTTAAAGCTTAGTAAGCTATAGTAGGCCTAATATGTCCTGGATTTTAAGTAGCGCTTCATTTTGAATTTATAATGATGATGGGATGATGATGAATATTACTATATAAAGTGTCATTTCCGGCCATCTAGAGGTACTATTTCCTCAAATTTTCTTGTGAAATCACGGCTTTGAAGTGTGTAAAGTACATACTCAAATACAATGTTTTCAAGCTTAATTTTCTATGGTACATCACACTTATTAATAAGATCTTTATGGTTGCCGAAAATTCCTTACAAAAGAGCATGAGAAATTTGCTGGCGCTTCATTTTTAGTATATAATGGTAATGTGATGATGATTTTTATTAAAAATGTCTCTTTCTGGTCATCTAGAGGTACTATTTCCTCAAATTTTCACAACTCAGCCCCAACCACGGTGGGTCTGAGGTTGGTTGCGACTCACAAAATGCCCCCCCCCCCATCACCACCACCACCTCCACCTTTCAAAACAGATTGCGCCCTTCCTGGGTATGACATTAAACTCCATCGAGTTGACAACTGACTCAGAGTATGTCTTCGTGACTGCTGATGAGAGGCGAGAATGCATAAATTTGGATGTGATCTGGTCTTAACTATTTTGGATAAAGAATGTTTTGAGCAGTGATGGATTCAACGCACCCTCCCCCAATTTTTTTAATGGAAAAAAATATAGACCCCCTATCCAAATTTAAGTCTGAGAGTGTAAATTCCGGCCATCTAGATGTTCCCTAATCATAAATTTTCTTATTATGGTTGGTGCTGAGGTGGGTGGTTCCTCAATCTGTAAAAGTCCCTCCTTGGGTCACCTCTTTTTTGAATTCCTTGATCCACCACTGTTGAGTTTTATATAATTATTGTTAGGTTTACTAATATTATTTATGATGCGTCTATTGCAATTTTCACCTTATCATCTCAAAACAGTCCTAAAAACCTTCAGAGCAGGCTACATTCCAGGGGATTCACCCTGGACCCCCACCCCGGGTTCCTACGTACCTCGTATAACGGCTCCCCCATTTCAAAATCCTGACTACGTTCCTGCCACTGGATGATAATATGACATACAGTCGATGCAGATACACATTATGCTGTTATGTAGGCCTATCAACAAAGCCCTTTTGGGTCAGGGTGCTAGATTGAAGACCATGTGGTTAAAAGCCAGTTAGGGGCCCCTAGGTGTTGGGGTCCCTGTGGACCGCCGCATGAGAGCGCGTAGGCGTTACGCCACTGCCTATGGCACTACTTTTGCAGAGTAGGCCTATGTAAAAGTAAGTTTTACTACAGATATTATTGTTACGTGTGTTCAGATATATATAACTTTTTGTGGTTCTACATGTTACTATCCTATGTTTGTCAGTCTAAATTTGTAGAGCTCCGACTCTTTGCGGAACACAGTTGTTGACTAAGCATGCAATTAATGATCGGGTATACCAGCTCGGACAAAGACATAGAAATACCATCTTTTTATAAGACCCTAATAAGCGTTCTATTATAATTAAACATTCTATTACCTAATTATATATTACCGTACATGTTTAATAATTAGTTTTAATATTCTAGGCTTATATAAAGCGTGCATTGTAGTCGAGTATGCCTAGGTTTACTTTGTTTATTCGTTTTATAGCCTAGTACTATGTATTTATAAGTATATATATATATATATTATATATATATAAATTTTTATAAATTTATATATAAATCATCAAAGAAAGGTAAATACAGTGTTCGGATAAAGGACTTAATAAATACATTGTGTAGCATAGCTCTCAACGAATGTAGTCCAAATGCACCTATTTGTTTCTAGCCGTACCTATTGTGTAATAGAGTGTATCTGGTGGTATTTGAATCTGTTCAACCATGAAGCCTCCGTGGTCTAGTGGTTATAACACTCGCCTTGACAGCGAGAGGTCGCAGGTTCGAGTCCCGCCAGAGGCATTTTATTACACAA